CACTCTAATTAAAGGTTAGTCAAGGAGTATAATGACTAGAGGCCAAACATAAGAGATTATAATCTTCATTACAGGGAGGTCAGACAGATCAAAGTAATAAATTGGCTCAGTGTTCCTAGAAACAACTTTGTGAACTTTTGATGAGAAGATTACCATGTCCTGAATTCCTTCTCCATCACTTGAGACTTCTCCTACCTTTTAAATAGCCCACACAATTTAGACACTTGTTTCTTATTCTCCTGTTTTGACCAGTGCTGAAACACTGGTGAAGTGGAATGAAACATTACATAGTGAAGATTAACCTTGACCTGCCAAACTCAACAGTGGCTTGAACCTTCCCTGGCCTGTGCCTGTCCATACTCTTCAGGGCTGCAGCCTGCACCCTCACCATACTACTGTGACTCAGTGCAGCTGAAGAAACTCCTTCCCCTCCATGGGCTGTCAGAGGCTCTTTACTTCCTTGCTCCCCACTTTACAAGCATTGTTTTGACCTGTCCTGCCTTGCCAGCATGCCTCACTGAACTCCTCCACTGATTGTGAGCCACAGCTTCTCCTTTCAGCCCCCACAGCTGCCTCCTTCACACCCTCCTCGTGTGTTACCTCATCAGTAATCACTGCATGCCTTAATCCATCTCCTCCAGGATCCTATCTATGTAGCTCTTCTCCAGAGCTTCCTTGATCTGACCTAGACCATCTCTTCTCGTCTTAGTTCTGCTCCACAGTATTTTCCCTCATATATCCAAGCATCATGGTGTGCTAACATCAAGGTGTGCTCCATCCTTCATGGTGTGCTAACACACCCCACTGACCCTTCTTCCAAGAGCATAGAGCTGAGCCATCCTTTAGCCTCACAAGGGAACCTCTTAGCCCTCACCACCCTGACAGCATGCTCTGCTGCTCCACACCCTCCTCTCTCCCACCTGTGCTCCTCAAACAGCCCCTCTACTCAGACTGCCTTATCTTCCCATGCACACCTCAGGCCCTTTCATGCCCAGCCATACCTCAACCCCTTTGACCATCCAACTCTAGTGGCCTAGGATCACAGGCCTCTTTATTTCTCTTCTCCAAATAAAGTGCACTTCCCTTCCACAGTCTTCAGCAAACTCCCAGGGTTCCCCCCAACTCACTGAAATGCCACAAGCAATTTCACACATTTTCCTGTACCCCTTGCTGTGAGGATCACACCCCTGTTCTCCTGCCACCACTGCCATGGGTCTTATCTGGCATTCTGCTCCCCCAGCAGCTGGTTCCACAGCTGCTCTCCATCCCAGCCATTGACCTGCCTTTGCTGCCACACCTGCCAGAAAGTAGGGGGGAGGAGAGAGGAAAGAGGAGAATATTCCATTTTTCCAGAAACCGATCTCTGAGCTTCAGATGAATAATGACCTCTGATTACCCCAGGTCTTCCGAATGACACCTGCCTGAGCTTTTCTCTCATGGCCTCCTGAAGCAAGCCTGAACAGGTATTTGCATCAGACAATGTGAAGCATAGTGTCATCTAAATAGCAACCACTCTACCACATAGCTTCTTTCCTAGGTTAAGGGGAGAAACAGCAAGCAAAAAGCGGATTGGAAACCTGTTACTGTCTTATTTTATTGGGATGGTATGAACTACCTGTCTTCTTATCATTACGAATAGCAGTAACATAAGGATGCTCAGAGAATGAGTACTTAATCTAAAAAGAAAAAACAGTTACCAGTATTTATTTAAAGGCTAAAGAAAAAAGTACAGTGCAATGGTTCCCCCTACTGACAGCATGAAATCAAATTAGTGATCAATGTTTTTTCCTGGATGGTCCTTAAAATACTAATTTAATGTCCCGATGTGGTACCTACACAAGCTTACCAGTACACAATAAACTATGTAAACATCAGCTGCCTTAGAAAATTATGACTATTTGCCAAATAATAGAGAACAAAATTTGACAAAACTCCCATTGATGCCTAAGATTATTTATCAGGTATACAAAATGACAGTAAGATCGTAAAATGCGTGTGAGTGTGTGTATTCTGAATGAAATGCCAGGATGTTCATCAGCCAAAACAGAAACATAAATAAAGCGCAGCTGTACAGCTTCCTATGCTTGCTGAAATCTAAAGGACAGATGGTAGGTCTGAGCTGAGAGTTGCCAAATTCTGCCTGTATTCGGGGACTGACCTCTTCGGACAAAGATCAAGTCTGACATTCAGTCTGGTCCCCAATTCCCAACAAAAGGCAGTGAAAATATTGTCATTCTGCTCTCATGTCAGCTCCGGTGGCAGCTGAGTTAAATCAGAACCAAGAGTCAGACGCTTACAGAAGTCAAAATGCGCTTTGGGACTAGATGTGTGTCTGGTCATGAACAGCAACAGAAGCATTCCTCCAGACTTACACCCCTACCTATTGTTTCTGGATTGTATAGCTAACATAATTTTTCACTCTGGTCATTCAGCAAAAAAAATAAGAGGCTGAAGAAGATCCTCTAGTGCATTGTATCCTCATCTGGCTTGAAAAAGGTAATGAACAAATATGCAGTAACACAACATAAACGAATAACATAAATAAATAGAGTCTCTACTGAAATATGCATGGGACTACACAATTCTATAAATCGGGATTTTGCAGACTCCTGTTATGATCCTGGCTCTCTGTATACAAATTCACCTGAAAAAATTCTCAATGCTATTAAAGATAATGCCAAGTCTCCTTTCAAGCACATGTGCAGTGAATATGATGTCTACCCAGCCGGTATTCAGACACGGGTTAACTGTTGGCACCTGTGTACAATCTTGTACCAGTTGCCTGTGTATCAAAGCTTCTCACCTCGCTTTCAGTTCTCCCTCTGCTCTATCTGGAAAATATAACTACACATCAACAGGGACACACGCCTTCCTCTAAACTGCGTCTCTAGCACCCGGCTTTTTCACTCGAACAAGACTTCCTGCTCCTCCCAATGCACAGAGGGTGTAATGCCCCCCGGTCGCCTCCCTGACGGGTTCTGTGAGCGTGCCTTCTACTCCAGGTCTGCACAGCCAGGCACAGGAAAGCCTTGCTCCTGACTGGGGTTCCCTGACAAGACAAAACATGACAAATCGAACAATAGTCACGCACAAAGGATCATCTTTAGGGTAAATTGCAGCTGCTTCGCATCACATCAGAGCCACAATCCTACCACTCAAGCTCTGTGCTGAGGTAAGATGGATTTAAAACAGTCATAATTTAGCATTTTCCGCTCATTTTGTTTTTAGCAGCATTGCACCTGCTATTGAAGAAATCCTCTTTCCAATAATATACCTCTTCAGGGAAAAAAATACTGGGAGCATGTCTCTGTTACCATAACCCTTGCTGTAAGAATATTGTTTGTAGACATGATGTGGATAATTAACTCCTTGGGATAAGGACCTTCTATTTCAGAGAGAAGCTCGGGCATCCCAGGTACTACATGAGATGAGGAATGCTGTAGGAAGCCACCACACACGTCATTTCCACATGCTACGGCCAAACTCCTGGAAGGGCTGCCCTTCGCCTTTTGTCTGGGGTTCATTATAACAGAAATCGGATGGTGAGTACGTGTGTGGGGAAGCTGGTGGCTCCGTGCCTCTCGGCGGAGCAGCAGAAGCCTGTCTCCCCCAGGGCCTGATGGTCCCCAGTACAGCAGGTCCCAGCTCTCTGCCCAGGCTCTGGCCCCATAGCACAAACTGCGAAGATTTTAATGTTTTTTCAAGTCGCCTAAAGACAAATAGAATTGTCGAATGGTTAGAGTTGGAAGGGACCTTAAAGATCATGGAGTTCCAACCCCCTGCCATGGGTCCCACTAGAGCAGGTTGCTCAAAGCCCCGTTTAACCTGGCCTTGAACACCTCCAGGGATGGGGCATCCATAACTTCCTTGGGCAACCTGTTCCAGTGCCTCCACCCTCACAGTAAAGGATTTTTTTCTGGTATCTAATCTAAATATCTAAAAGAGTCTCTAAAAGAGTCCTCTCCGGCTCTCCTGTAGCTCCCTTCAGGTACTGGCAGGCTGCTCTAAGGTGTCCCCAGAGCCTTCTCTTCTCCAGGCTGAACCCCCCCAGCTCTCTCAGCCTGGGAGAGGTGCTCCATCCCTCTCATCCTCTTCGCGGCCCTAAAATAAACTCCTTCCTCCCCTCAACTTTTCCTAAGGTAATTCCCATAGCTCCTGCTGCTGGGATATACCTGCCCCGAAGCCGGGAGGCAGCCTCCCCGGGGCTGCGGGGGCGTTGCGGGGCCGGGCGGAGGGCTGACGCACAGGAAGGCCGGGGGCGGGCGCGTTATAAAGCGGGGTTGGACGGGGAGGGGGGGGCGGGCAGGAGGGGAGGCAGCCGCCGGGCCGCAGGGAGCCACCGCCGGCGCAGGCAAGTGGGGCGCCCCGGGGGAAGGGGGGCCGGGCCGTCCCGTCCCGTCGGGGAAAGGCGAAGAGGGTCGGGGGAGAGCTCGTTTATAGCGCGGGTGGTGCTGAAGCCGAGCGGCTCGGCCACAGGATCCCACTAGAGCAGGTTGCTCAAAGCCCCGTTTAACCTGGCCTTGAACACCTCCAGGGATGGGGCATCCATAACTTCCTTGGGCAACCTGTTCCAGTGCCTCCACCCTCACAGTAAAGGATTTTTTTCTGGTATCTAATCTAAATATCTAAAAGAGTCTCTAAAAGAGTCCTCTCCGGCTCTCCTGTAGCTCCCTTCAGGTACTGGCAGGCTGCTCTAAGGTGTCCCCAGAGCCTTCTCTTCTCCAGGCTGAACCCCCCCAGCTCTCTCAGCCTGGGAGAGGTGCTCCATCCCTCTCATCCTCTTCGCGGCCCTAAAATAAACTCCTTCCTCCCCTCAACTTTTCCTAAGGTAATTCCCATAGCTCCTGCTGCTGGGATATACCTGCCCCGAAGCCGGGAGGCAGCCTCCCCGGGGCTGCGGGGGCGTTGCGGGGCCGGGCGGAGGGCTGACGCACAGGAAGGCCGGGGGCGGGCGCGTTATAAAGCGGGGTTGGACGGGGAGGGGGGGGCGGGCAGGAGGGGAGGCAGCCGCCGGGCCGCAGGGAGCCACCGCCGGCGCAGGCAAGTGGGGCGCCCCGGGGGAAGGGGGGCCGGGCCGTCCCGTCCCGTCGGGGAAAGGTCGGGGGAGAGCTCGTTTATAGCGCGGGTGGTGCTGAAGCCGAGCGGCTCGGCCACAGGAAAAAAAGCGGGAGGTCAAGTTACCAATATCGCAATTAACCGCCTAGCGCTGCGGGCCGCTACGCGGCACCCGCTTCTGCCGGCCGCTCCCCTCTGACTTCAAATATTTGGGCTTTTCGCGAAAGGGAAAGGGGTGCCAGGCCGTGCTGCACGCGAGCGTATCGCCAAAATGCCATTTACAAACGGCGCCCCTCTGCCTTGCAACTGTTTCTGTGTGCGAGCATCCCTGCGCGCTACGAGCATCCCTGCGCGCTACGAGCAGCCCCCAGAGGGGTTGCAGCCGGGACAAAATCTTGCCTTTTGTTTTTTCCTCTTTAGATAATAATATTAAGTTTTCTTACTCATCTTTTTAGCCTATCTTAACCACCAGAATTCACTAGCGATTGCAATAAGATGTCCCTCTGAAAGCGAACAGGCTTAAAAATCTTAAATTATTGGGTTTTTTTCTGAGTGCGATCTATTAACGCATCATGATTTGGTTCCTTGTATGTATCTCAGGAAATAAGATCTGTGATTGTTTGTAACTATCAGTATAGCAACAAAGACAGGGAAACACTCCTATGCATTACTCCTCCTCGGCAATTTGAAGAAACAAATTAAATGTTCAGGCTGTATTTTTTTCCTCTCTGAATGGAAGTAATGAAAAGGAGGGAAATGTCACTGGGCACATTTCCACTGACGTTATACAGTGTCCTTCGTACCACACACGCAGAATCATCCCATCCAGCCATTCTTAAGGAGAAACTAAAACCTGTCACTTTTACTTCTGCGTGAGTAAGTACTCAGAACTCCGTTACACCTTGAGATGCTTCACATCTTTCTTTTTTTTTTCCCCTCTGACTTAAGAAAACACAAAATGAAAGACCACAGCTTTAAAAACATGATGTGTTCTCTACATCAAACTGTTGACATTCTGAAACTATGATTCACAATTGGAAATAGAAAAGCTGTTTATAAAATGGTTAATCTTCTATAAAAACGTCAATTTTGATGAAATCTCATCTTTTTTTTCAGGAAAATTTTTTATCAAAGATGGTGAAATAGATGTAATATGTTGACCTACTGCAGTGCAATCTTTAGTCCATGGCTGGGTTTTGTGTAGCTTGTTAACACAAACAAACATTAACAATGAAAGGGAAGACAACCTCTAGTATGGGATCAAGGTGTGGGCAGGGGCCACTCAAGGACCAAGATGCCAGGAACAGGCCCTCGGGCATCCTTCTTCTCCGCTCACCCACCATGGCCTGTTCTCAACCTTACCACTGACTTTTTATCTTTGTGCCACATCTAGAATTACAGCCTGGCGCAGCCTGCCCTGAGGCAATGTCTTATCTTTAGTCTTTCCTGGGCTAAAAAAAAAAGAATCACAATGAAGATGGTGTTTTCACCAGCAGGATTAATGATGAGGTGGAGCAACCCTAGAGTGGAGGTATCAGAAAGGTAATGGTCTCCTAAGTGGAGAGAGTCACTGAGGCTGAGGTGTTGATGCGGAGAGCCTGCTCACTCACAACAATCTCATTAGTCCATGGCGAGGAGAAGGTATTCAGAGACAATTCAGCACACCTTAAATTTGGAACAACCAAGCTTCTAACTCCAGTATCTCAGTAAACAGCCAAAACTTAATTGGGAAAGTTATTTCAGTAAGAATTTCGGAGCCTGTCATCGAGTGATCCTACTCTTGCTTGTCTCTTAGTTTGCATATGACTTTATGCTTCCCAAGGTTTTTCTTTTTGTAACATCAAATCTCAGAATTCTATGGCAATTAAAAATGGAAAGATAGAAAAAAAAAAAATAATAGGTTAATATATAAATAATTTAGGTTGTGAAACAAGCGGTACTCTCCAAACAGAAGACATGAGGCTCTAGGAACAGCAAAATGATATACAACCAGCAGTGGCTTTAGGTAAAAACAGAGTGGCATGAATTCACCAAAAGCAGCAAACTCATTTCTTTCTACTACTCTTTCACAAGAATAGTTTTACCTGGATTTGAAAAGTACAGTCCTAAGCTACTTCTCTTGAAAGAGAAGCTGCGTAAATCTCCCTCCTATAATGCTTTATAAGCATTATAGAGTACCCAAAACATTTGCATTAAGGAAGGAAATCAGCAGAGGTGCCCATTCAAGTGTAAGAGCTAGGACTTCTTTTAATAGTCTTGTTCACTTTTCTCCCTGTTCCCTTTAACTGACTTTAGCCAAATACCATCTGTTTTGAAAGACAGAGAATAAACAGGAATATTTAAGAATATAATAAAAAGGCACTACAATGAAAATAAGTGGCTTATGCATTCTGGGTTGTTAATTCATATCCACCTTTCACAGCAAATATGTCTGATTTTTTTCTCTTGCAGTATGTCCCAATGGAGTCAAGTTCAACAACTGGAAATAAAGTTTTTGGAGCAGGTAGACCAGTTCTATGACGATAACTTCCCCATGGAAATCCGCCACCTACTAGCACAATGGATAGAAAGCCAAGATTGGTAGGATTAAATTTATTCCCTCTCGTATGATTTCAGTCATGAACAATTTTTTCATTACCTGGCAGGTTTTAGGGTGCTCATTTGTAAACTGTGCAGGCACCTGCACTCCAAGAACAGTATTCCACTAGTTGTGGATATAGCCTGTTGAGCTGTCAAAGTTTAAAAAAAAAATAAGAGTTTTCAATCAAAATGCTATTTATATACATTTACCTCCTGCAGCATAAAAGTATTCACTTGTCCAAAACTGCAGTTATAGCTGGACATATAATTTTGGCAAACAAGCCAGCTATTTTGGAGGAACTGTTCTCTAGAAGACAATTTTATGCCTGAATTTGAATTTAATTCACTGGATACTTATGTTAAGAAAATTCAGAAATAAATAAATAAATAAATAAATAAACCAATTATATTAGTCTTACCAGGAAGAGATATCTCAATTTTTCAAGCTAAATCCAGAAGACTATTGGAAAAAAAAAATCTGCTAAGGAATAAAATCTTTCCTTACAGTTTATAGCTCAGTGTTTATGGGGCTGCAGGAACATGGCAAACATTAAAATCATCTTTTTGCCAGATTTAGCAGACATATCGCAAACAGGCATCTGCCGTTTGGAGGGCACAGAGAGAGAATATTCCAAGGACAAGGGTGTCATGCAGCCCAAAGTCTATTGTCCTCTATTTTGCTTCCTAATGTTATTGCCCTTCATGTACCAAGCTGTTCCATAAACAGCAGAACCAGTAAATCTGGTTCGTGTGTGTGTTTGTGTCCTTCGTCCCCTACATACCCTTCACCAGTAGCTTCAGAGCCTTCCTGTATCCCCAAATAGTTTGGCCGGGCGAAGGCTCATCTGGTGCCTGGTGTGAAGATATATATCTGCTGACTGGCCATCTGGCTGTTGCCTCCTGGAGCAAGTTATTACTGCCATTTTCCTCAGTGGAGGCACTAATTTGGATTCCTCTCCTCTACCAACCTGCCAGTTTTCTGTGAAATTTGTAAGAACATACTATCTTTTGGACTTCCAGCCCACTGTCAACTTTGTCTGAAACTGGGCAGCAAATTCAGTAATTGTATCTGTGTGACTGACAGAGTGAGAGGGACAGTAGGCACAAGCCTCATTCCCTCTGGGAAGTGGGCTAAAAATATTTAAATATTCACTGGACCAGAGACTAGAAAACGCTGGTTGTCTTTCCCCTGGCTGACTCCATAGCCTGTGCCTAGAACATCCTCACCCTGTCTTTCTAGCTGCATATCTACATGAATATAAATAAAAGGATTATAAAATCAATTATTCATAAACCTCTAGCTATGCAACTCAACATCTATTTAAAGCCTTTTTTTGCTGCCTAGATTTCTGAATGAATTTCAATTTTCTGTACAGATAGACTGACACTTCTTATGACGCTTTAAACACGCGTGGTTCTCGTTCATTGATTCTTTAGGGAGGCTGCATCCAACAACGAAGCGATGGCAACAATCCTCTTACAGAATTTGCTAATACAAGTGGATGAACAGCTGGACCGGGTTTCACAGGAGAAGAATCTTCTTTTGATACACAACCTGAAGAGAATCAGGAAGCTGCTGCAGGTGGGTTGTTACTTCAGATGATAAAATACATACTCTTACTGGTTTCTAAAGGTAGTGCCCAGCCTCTGTTGAACACTGTTGGTTCCTGTGCACAGCTCAGAGCTGTCCTGGTTGCTATAGACTCCAAGCAGCTGTGGGGAGACTAAGCCTTCAACAAGATAATTCCAAATAATAATTCCACTGTCTGTTACTTTGTGGAACAACAATTCACATTTTAATGTGCACTGCCCAGATACACACAGAGCCAAGAAGTCACAGCTCTTGTATCTGTTTCACTGAGCTCTTAAAAATAAAACTGTATAATACTTATGGACGTTCATGTTTATTACAAATGTAATTGCCACCTTTCAGACACATGGAATAAAAATGCATATTTGGGCCTTAAAGCAGCACCCTGAAGAGGAATCCCTGTAAATCATTAGCATATTTGCTATTTTATCCTTAGCTGGGATGGTTTGCTATGAGTGGTTTAAAGGATTTTTCTGTTAGGTTTCTGCAAAATTATATTTATTTTGATTGGCTGAGTATTTCTCTAATAATTGTTTATCTAAGGCAAGGATTCTCAGAGTTCCACTTCATTAGTCACCTACTTCCTGACTTCTATCTTCTACATAAGACAGATATGCATCTGAGTTTAATGAAAGTTTGGGGTTTTTTCTCTTCTTTGATGGTGTTTTCCATAAGTACTTAAGTCACAGTTATATTGCTTGCGAAACATTTTCTTTATTTGATATATAAATATACTTGTCTGGAAAATCTTAGCATAACCTTGCCAATTATTTTGTTCTCTTTATGGATATGCATTTTTCTATTCTTTATACCTAATGATGGCCTCTTAAAATGTGACAGTATTTCCATCGCTACCACTTTTTCTTCCGGTGTTATGCAAGGAGTCTCATGTAATTTAAAGCTAAATTTGCTTTTTGTTTCTTTTCTGGTTTGTGTAGCAGCACTATCCAATAATTTCAGTACTACTTAAACACCAAATTTAGTTAAGTGCTTTTGGAGTTAACTGCAGAAAGGTTAATAGTATTATTTGTGTCGTGGTGTTGGCACACTTTACCACAGAAGGGCTGAAAAACGGCTCTATCACTTTCATAAAGGTATTCTCACACAGTAGCATACGTCTGGCAAGAGCATTTCAAGGCACTGAAACAAGCAGTTGCATTGGTGTGTTCCTGGCCTAAAAGATTTTGCATTTACAGTTATACCATCACAATGTGCACGTGCAGAAAGACTGGCACATATACTTACATACAGGCTCTATAGAACTAAAGTCTCTCACTGTTCCTTCTTCTCTTCACACCGCTTCTTTTATGCTACAGTTTTTACCAAATCTTGAAGTTTGGCAGCTGTGCATGCTCTGTGACGTTGGGCATACTGAGACAAACCATCAGGCCTTGGGCACACACACACACACACGAGTTTATGTAACAGCCAGTGTGAAAATGGCCAGCATGAAAGCCATTCAGTTTAAGTTCTGGCAAGTTTGGAAATTACATTATGGTGTGTTTCCCACAGAGCACAAAGCATAGGAGGCTTATTCCAGAAAAGCCAAAGAGGGGTTCTTAAGTGATTTTTGATTAAGTGGTTTCTCAGGTGGCAAGGATCTGAGTCACAATTCCAGAACAAGCCAGAATGCTCAGGTGTCCCCATCACAACTGTACAGCCAGGTTACAGTCACCATATACTAGTTACAGCAGCAGCAGAGCCAGCACCAGAAATGGCCTTTTCCTTCTCTAGATAAAGAAACAGTAAAGGTCCCCATGGAGTAGCCTAACCCATCGTTTCACTGGGTTGCTGCCTCTGAAAAGAAACACCACATGAGTTGTGACATGCACCCATCTCGTTTTCTCCATCACCCTGCAGTGCTGTAAGGCCCTGACTTAGCAAGTGTTCTCAAGCAGCAACCTCTCTCTGCTCCCGTGGGCTGCAAAGGTCTGTAGGCTTGCAGCCTAAAGCACTCTGAACTTCTTGAGAGGACATGGGTGATGCTGGAGTTATGCTGCTTATTAAAAAGGATCTCAGTCTTGAGCCTGGCAGTGAAATGTTTCCAGCTGTGCAAAAAAGTATAACAAAAAAGTGTAGATCTCTCCATCACTAATAATTCTGGCCTTTCTCCATTATATCAAGACAGCAGATAACCTGTGTTTAGCTAAAGCTACTCATTCAGTTTCAAAATACACATGCAAACTACCTGATACTGGACAGGACTTTCATGATTACAACTTTGCCTGATTTCTTATGACCTTTAACATTATCACCCGCAGCCTATTCTGATTTCCAAAGTAATTCCTATAGGTTGGAGTAGAAACAGACTCTTGCAAAGGTATTATTATTATTTTGGATAAGGCAAATAATATAAATTATGTCTTAAGAAATCTGTGGCACAGGTATTTGGGGTTTTGTCTAAAATACTATGTTACAATTTCAAATTTTTAGAATATAAATGATAAATGCATTTTCAGCCAAAGTATGGGCTGCATGTTCTATAGAGCTGCACAGGCAGTGTCCTGAGTGTCAGCTGTTAGATTTATTTCTATATTGGTTAGGTAAGTACATCAGGAAAAAAATGCTATAGTAGTTGTAATCCGCTGACATCCTGTCCTTGCTATTAATTGTCAAGTATTATTAATGGACTATGAACTGTACATGATGCATAGTATGGACAGTATCTGCTGTAATGTCCCTAAATTTGAGTATGCAAATTATGTAATTACAGGTCTAATTTTTTAAATGCATCACTGTTTGTGTTTTATATGAGAAGTTTGGAACTGGGTATTTGGCTCCCCACCCACAGCTGGATGCGCTTGCAGATTTGTAGCTCCTGCAATTTGAGCTAATTAGTGACAGTTTCATGAGACAACACCAGCAGCACGTGACTGATGTACACAGCACAGCGCCACGGTCCCTTTTGTCCCAACATAGCGCCCAGAGAAAGGGAGACTGAAAGGGTACGCTATAAAACTAGCAAGTGTTTTCACTGACTGTGATGGAGGAAGGACTGGGTCCCTAAATAGGAGAGGAAGCTGCATTTGTAAACACTTTTTCATTTCTAGTGACTCTGTGAACAGCGTTGGTTTGATTTTCTCTGAAGGTTTAGTTACCACAAGCCCACCTTTATCTCTGCTTTGCTCTCTAGCACAAGCACTTTGAAATTTCACAGGTCACTCCTCTTCCTTCCCCTCCACACTACACACACAGACATACTCGACACATGTACAGCGCGCGCACACACAGGGCTGTTCAACCTCAAGACATGACTCTGAGGGCAAAGTTTGTTGATGATTTTGAGTCAAATCGTGTTAAAACATTTAGTAATACTTGTCCAACTAGATAATGCTGGAAACCAGCATTTATAACTAAGTATGCAGAGTAATATGTTGAGCTACGGTACAGGTTCCTACATACTATGACAATAGCAATAATAAAATAATTAAAATCAGAGAACACGCAAAAGCCATTTGAAAGCAATCTCTAGTTCTTGACAAAAGGCAAAATGAGGGACTAATGTTTAATTATAAATGCAACTACATTGTTAATGAATAGCAGTCTTAGAAGAGGAAGCAATGCACACTTTACAAATGGCTTGTGCAGCTGCTTTCTAGACAGCAAGGAACTCGTTATGATCAAGATTCCTGTGCTGAATCTAGAGACAATTATGCCTACCAGCATCACAGCCAAGCACACCCTAGCTGAAAGATCTCCCTGGGACTCATTTTTGTTATAAAATGGAGAAAATGTTCTATTCTGAGTTTCACCTGAAACATTTTACATAAATATCTTAGTTGCATCATGAAAACCATGATGGAAGTAGTGAAAGAAGTGAGAACTTGCCTCTCTCACACGTGCAATACAAAGTTTTGGGCAATCTCAGGCATTGTGAAGGGCAAAGAGCAGAAGTTTTAGCAGGGAGGGGTCTGCCTGGGCACCCTTGCTTCTAGGCCACAGGGACCGTCCCCGGTCTCTCACCGTTAGAGAAGTAACAACGGAACGTGGCATTTCTGCTCAGACTGCTGACATTTCCAAAATTATCTTGAGGCAAGAAGAAACACTGACCAGGAAACATGCGATTTGACGGAGTTATAACCACTTGAAAAAGTGCTGAGAAACTTAGCTAAGCAGCTGAGGTTACTGCTAGCTCTCAGTAATTTGCCTCTCTGTCTATTTCTTGCTTTCATTGAAACATCACTTCTTGACATTAATCTGGTATAAATGCACATATTATATTAAAATCAGGGTCAGCAATTTAGGTTCAAATCCTTCATATTTACTACTTACATTATTATTACTCCTCTAGTCAGTAAATTGGATTCATTTTTACAGCAGAGCAGCCTTTTGTTGCCGTGCTCTTCAGCGGGAGACAGTGCAGCACAGTCACTTGCTAAGGTTAAATTCTCTGTCCATCTTCCTACAGAACTCCTGCTTCCTCCAGCAGTTCTGGAAAGGGATGAGGAGAGGAAATGTTTAGAGGCAGCGGAGGAAAGAGAGGGGGGGAAACTATGTCTATAGTTCTTTCTCCTGCTTAAAACCTGGATGGAGAAAAGCAAAGCAGATTAGTCAGAAGGATACGGTTTGTGCCATTGCCATGACGACAAAATGTAAAGGGCAGATGTTAAGCTCAGAAGAGCTGCCTAGCACTTCTAGGAACCAAATTGCAGATGCCAACAGTTTACACAGCCTTAGCCCATGAACAATTACATCTTAGTTTTCAGAAAGAATGTTTTTAAATGACAGCATACCTGTCCCTGATGTAAGCTCCTGTACTATATCTGTGTAGATTTAGTACGCAAAGACAACTGGTGACATACAGAGACAGTCCTGTGAAACAGGCACTGTCCATGTCCAGCCTGGAGAGCAGCCAGCTGTGGTGCACCAGGGGAGGCTTGGAGTAGCCTGAGATGGCCACCACACCCCAGCATCCCACCATTCCATTTACGAATGGTGCTGGTGGGCGATTGCCTCTGGATAATCCAGCACTGTTCTTCCCCCCCCCAACT